CTTTCTACAAGATGTAATGAAGGATGATTCTTTTTTTGTGTTTTTGTTCAATTAAAATAAAATAAAAATTCAAAAAAAAATCCAGGCATTTGGCAGCGGACAAGGTTATTTCAACTCCTCCATCTGCGTATCTCCTGCCTCATTTCTGTCCTTTTGGCTGCCCTCCATTCAGATGCCCCCAGTTAACCTTCCCCATCTTGCTCCCTCTGCTGACCAACCACACCTGGCCTGGCCCCTTCATGAGGCAGCTGCTGGCCTCACAAGGCCTTCTTCCCAAGGGGGTTTCCTCACAAGACCTTGGAAGGAAAGCATGGCTAGCAGCTGTCTTGTGAAGAACCAGGCTGTATGTGTCCCATCAGCACTGGGAGCAAGAAGACTGAGGGTCAGCTGGGGTGGAGGAGCACAGGGTGGCAGTGAGGGTGACTGCATCTTCATGCTACACTGAGCTGAAGTGGCTGGAACTTCTCATCATTGTGTTGAGCTGTGGTCGCTGCGCTGCCGTGCTGGGGCAGCTGGGGCTTCATGCTTTCTTGCTAGTGGGTAGGCTTTGTCAATGCTGGGCTCATCTCCACACCCCATCAAAGCCTCGCAGGCAAGTTCTCCAGGAACACTTTCAATGTGAACTGTAGAGCGTGCATCGGAAGGGGTCCTTGAGAATCGGCCAGCAAGCTTTGAAAGCTGTTGTCCCTTTCTGAGGCTTTACAGGAGAGAGGCAATGAGACACATCTGGTGTGTGGAGCCCTGGCAGATAGACTGGATGTACACATGGAAATGTGCAATAGATTGAGCCTGCTGAAATGAGGCAAGCCACCAGGAGCTGGGCGGGAGGGGACGAACGACTGCACTGGAGAAAGATGGCTAAAGGTCAGCTGGGGATGATTGGGGTAATTGGCAGAGTAGCAAAAAAGGAACAGGTGAAGGAAGATAGGCAGGTGGGAGTTAATTGAAGCAGAGGTGAATGCAGCAGGGCAGAAGTACCCTAACCCTAAAAATGGCATTATTCTGGCTTAATGACTGCAACCAAGAATACTGGAATTATCATCACTAAACAACGCCATCATGTGACATTCAGTCTAAGGACCATTTACACTGAGCAATGAAAATTCATCCCAGTTAGGGTGGTTAGGATAGGACTATCTGCATGCATAGTTACAAATTTTCTAGCTAGGACAAGCACAGACTAAGTTAAAATAGAAAGAAAAGTACCTTTGCTAACAATAAAAGAAATGCACGAACAAAATAAAACCCGGAGGGTCTCGTTCTTTTGTCATGTCCAACACTCTATCCATTACCTTAGTGCTTTTTTGAACATTTTAAATGAATTGTGTAAATATTATATTAGAGTAAAATACTTATTCATTTTTAGCAAACTGGGTTTTTCTGAATGCAGCCCGAAGGCAGGGGGAGAGTAAATTCATTCCTCTAATTCAGTGTTTCTCAACCTTGGCGACTTTAAGTCCTGTGGACTTCAACTCCCAGAATCCCCCAGCCAGCTTTGCTGGCTGAGGGATTCTGGGAGTTGAAGTCCACAGGACTTAAAGTTGCCAAGGTTGAGAGACACTGCTCTAATTAACTCCTATTCCCAGTACAATTTTCCCAAGCCTTTTAATTTCATCCTATTGTCTCACAAATACAGACATGAAAATTCACTAGCAATAAGACAGAACAGTCTAGTTTATATTCAGAGAGATGTTCTTGAACGTACGGTAAGGAAAATACATCCTAAAAAAAAAACAATTGAAATCTAGCCCCAATTTCTGCATCAAATTCTATGGAGGACACTACCTCACTGTCAGTGTTCTTTCTAACCCACCAGAGAGGTTCTTACCCAGCTGTCCACACATATTGATTAAGACAAAAAGTGTGGCTACGAATACACCGCTTCCCCAAGATATGTTGATGTAGTCCCGCTGCTCGTTCCATTGGAACCACATCCTGATGCCATCTTCCAAAAATGTGCTGATTAGGCAGAGGTGAGCCAGATGAGGTAGTACATGCTTTGTCACGCGCAAGAACTAGAATAATAGGGGAGAGGGGAATAGCATTAGAGAGCCATAAGGAAAGAAGTTAATTTTAACAACAACAGTTGGTCAAGGGATTTTTGGATATTTGAGCATTAAAAAGCAGCTACACTTGCTTCGTTTATAGATGCAGAAAATACAGTTTTACTCTTGGTGCAAAGGTCACTTAGCATTAAGATTAGAAAAAGGTCACGATACCTCAACTTTAACTAAAGCTAAGCTATCAATCACTCTGGGTTGTTTTTTTTTAATTTCACCTGAATAAGGTTTTGTCCCTTCTAATATGTGTACTTAAAATGAGGTGATGAAACAGAGTACAAGTGAATAGAAGCAAGATCAAAATCTACTGATGGTGTTTTGGCTCATTTTCATAATCAGCAAGATGATGATGATATTTTTTAATTAAATTTATAATCTACCTCCTAGAGATATTGGATGGTTAAAAATTGTTACAAATATTTAGAATAAGAAACCAACACAACACAAAAAGAAACAAAGATTACAGAGATATCAAATTTGGAGGGAAAGGAAAAAAAAAAAGCAGATCCTCCTGAGCTAGGAGCCAGATCTGAAATATCAGTGGGGTGGAGGTAATTTAAATCTAAAGGGGGAGGGGGGAAATTCATTACAGAGTGCAGGTGCGACTCCCAGGTGCCAATAGATGGCATTGTTTAATTGAAGGAACCCAGAGCCTCTCAACCCTGCCAGATTGGATTGGCCTGGCAAATACTGTGGGAGTCAGACCAGAGGTGGGTTCCTACCAGTTTGCACCTATTCGGTAGAACCGGTTCGTCAAATCTATCGAACCGGTTAGAAGAGGATCCACCAGTGGACCCGGAAAGCAGGCCACACCTACAGAAGAGGCTCCAAACTTTTTTGAAACCCACCACTGGTCCTTGGATATGATTATTCTACACTATCATGCTCCTATTTATAAACCTCAGTGCCTCTGTGAAAGGTAAGGATGACTACTCCGTTTGTGGTACAATCAGAACATTGCGTGTGTTGAAGTTGTTTTAACGCAAACCAAAGATGCCTTTTAAAAAACAAGTTTACATCATATTCTTATGCATGCCAGTGCTGGGTGTGGGGTAATTTAAGGTGGTTCTGACAAGTGTCGTCAGCATCTTCATATCCGGTCACATGGGCGGCAAGCCACTCCCATCCAGTCACATGAGCAGCAAGCCACTCCAACAAAGGAGGCCACACCCACAGAGTAGGTTCTTAACAATTTCTGAATCCCACCACTGAGTCAGACCATCTCTCTTCTCTATGGATTTTAATCACCATTGAGTTGAATGATCACAACTAAAATGATCACAACTAAAAACTAAAACAAGCAATACCCTCTGGCTGGTTTTTGCTATTTCTTTTTCATTCTGTTTCAGTATTTCCTTCCTATGAAATATGAGCATTAATGTACTGTTAGTTTTAGAGCTAAATGAAATTCTGCATGCTGGTTTATAGTATTGAATTAGTATTGTTAAAGTGTAATAACTCAGATTCAGATCTGTAGTTGTATGTGCAGATTGGGTCAGTATATAAGACACAAGATGCAATATATAATTGGCTCTAATTTGGAGTATTATATTGTGCTTAGATCTAATTGATAGACATGTATATCCAATACAAAAAAGCATGTAGGTCCTGGAAGCTTAACCTTTGGAATCGATGGCTGTCTAATTAACAATTAGATATTTAAGTCTTGATTTTCTTTTCATTGATTTCTAAGTCCATTGTTTTCAGATAATCGGCTTCCAATTACTGATTAACATGGTCTGTTTTGTTCTGTCAAGGATCTTAAATGTTCTTCAATAATTATCCATAATGTGAGTATGAACTCCGTGTAGAATAGTTTTAAAAGCACTATAAATATCTTTGTGCATGGTATTTGGCATCTGCCTTGGTGAGCAGAAATCATGAAGGATATTTATACTTTAATGCTTTTCTCTAATTAACAAACCATTTGTCCTACTTTAGGAAGTCTTTTTTTCCTCAAAAAATAATATATTTAGCTGTGCCTTCAAATCAGACAATTTTGTTTTAACCTAGCTCTAATTCTGACTCAAAATAAATTGCTTATTTTGACATCTGTTATCCAGCAAAATCAGACTGTGTGGACATACAACATTGAGGTAGGAAATAATTAGATTTCAAATAGGTTGGTCTATTTGATATTGCTTTATTTAAAAATCTATTTCCCTGGAAGCCAACTATTTACTTTAAACAGCGATCTGCAGGGTCTGATCAAAGGATTGAATATATTCACTTATCTGTGATTTATCAAAAACTAGTTATGTAACCCGTGGGCTCCTATCCAGAATCCAGACCGCAACTTTTTTTTTTTCAGTTCTTAGCCAGCAGTACTAACTATATTGCTGGTAACATACTTATTCATTAATTTGCCTTTTTACTGAGTTTCCAAAATTTTCAGTTGACTATAAACTAAGCTTTATAGTAAGCAAAGGAAACGTCAACATTTATCAGTATAATAAACACTGAATCCACCTAATAGATACAAGGATGCATGTCGTTTCCATTTTTAAACCATACAATTCCTGAACTGATACCACTGGTGTTTTTTTTTTTTTTTAAATCCAAGGTTTCAAAGATGGATCATCCATAATTGCTTTAAAAGAAGATGACAAAGTATAAGACAGTTTATATTTCTGGACCACTGAGAATTGTTCTTCTTAACATGTTCCTCTATGTTGTTATTCAGTGCCAGATTTATATGAACGTCTCCATACACAAAGTACTCCTCCTTTGACTGCTTTTATAATATTTGAAAGCAATGAACTCACGTATGTGCGCCAGAAGAGGAATAGGTGACGGCGTGTGTGCCAGGCAACATGGCTCCATGTGCCACTTTGGCCACGCGTGCCATAGGTTCGCCATCATGGGTATAACATACTCTCTGGCCAACACAAAGTGGACATGCAGATACAACTTTCTGCACTTGCCATTTTAAGGCAGAGATGGGAAATCTGCAGCTCCAGAGCCATATATAGTCCTTAACTTTTGAAGAAACCATGTCTGTTCAAAACCAAGAACAGTTTCTTGACTTCTTGAAATGGGCAATTATAATCTAATATCTACAATAGGCAGATTATACTAGTTTGAAACATACATTTTCCCTATTCACTATTGTGATGTGGTTTCATTTTTTATTTTGCAGCCATAAAACTCCTAAAAAATAAATGTTCTGTTACCTCATTCTGTAAAGGTAGTCCTTATATTACAATCATCTGTTTAGCAACCATTCAAAGTTACAATGGCACTGAAAAAAGTGACATGACCAGTTTTCACACTTATGACCGTCGCAACATCCTCATGGTGGCATGATCAAAATTCAGGTGCTTCATAACTGGCATGTATTTATGACAGTTGCACTGTCTTGGGGTCATGTGATCACCAGTTGTAACCTTCCCAGCTGACAAGCAAAGTCAGTGGGGGAAGCCAGATTCACTTAACAACCACATGATTCACTTAACAGCTGCAAAGATTCACTTAACTGTGGCAAAAAAGATCATAAAAATGTGGCACAACTCACAACTACCTTGGTTTGTTGTTAGTTGCAAAGTCGTGTCTAACCCATTGTGATCCCATGGACAACGTTCCTCCAGGCCTTCCTGTCCTCTACCATCCCCCGGAGTCCATTTAAGCTCACACCGACTGTTTCAGTGATCCCATCCAGCTACCTCATTCCCTGTTGTCCCCTTCTTCTTTTCTTCCTCAATCTTTCCCAGCATTAGGCTCTTCTCCAGTGAGTCCTTCCTTATCATTTGATGGCCAAAGTATTTTGAGTTTCACCTTCAGGATCTGGCCTTCTAAAGAGCAGTCAGGGTTGATCTTCTCTAGGACTGACCGGTTGGATCGCCTTGCAGTCCAAGGGACTTGCAGGAATCTTCTCCAGCACCATAGTTCAAAGGCCTCCATTCTTTGGCGCTCAGCCTTCCTTATGGTCCAACTTTCACAGCCATCCATTGCAACTGGGAAAACCATCACCTTGACTATACGCACTTTTGTTGGCAGGGTGATGTCTCTGCTTTTTAGTATGCTGTCTAGATTTGCCATAGCTTTCATCCCCAGGAGCAAGCGTCTTTTAATTTCTCGGCTGTAGTCCTCATCTGCGGTGATCTTGGAGCCCAGGAAAATAAAATCCGTCACTACCTTCATTTCTTCCCCATCTATTTGCCAGGAATTGAGAGGGCTGGATGCCATGATTTCTTAATGTTGAGTTTCAAGCCAACTTTTGCACTCTCCTCCTTCACCCACATCAAGAATCTCTTTAGTTCCTCTTCACTTTCTGCCGTTAGAGTGGTATCATCTGCGTATCCAAGGTTCTTGATATTTCTCCCGGCAATCTTAATTCCAACTTGTGATTCATCTAGCCCCGCCTTTCTCATGATGTGCTCTGCATATAAGTTAAATAGGCAGGGTGACAGTATACAGCCTTGCTGGAATCCTTTCCCAATTTTGAACCAATCAGTGGTTCTGTGTCCAGTTCTCACTGTTGCTTTTTGATCCGCATATAGGTTTCTCAAGAGACAAATAAGATGGTCTGGTACTCCCATCTCTTTAAGAACTTGCCACAATTTGTTGTGCTCCACACAATCAAAGGCTTTCGCATAGTCAATGAAGCAAACTATGTTGTTTTTCTGGAAGTCTCTAGCTTTTTCCATGATCCAGCGTATTTTGGCAGTTTGATCTCTAGTTCCTCTACCATCCATTATTTAGGAAAAATATAAATCTATGCATCGGTCAACTGAGACACAGAATGGAGTATCAGTATGGATGATGATGGGCACTTAGATGAAAGATGGGTCTTCAATTTACAACCAGAACCGAGCCCAGAATTACGGTCATTAAGTCAGGCCAAACATTAAGCAGGTCATCATGTGTCCAACCCAATTTCATAATTTTTTTTAGGTGGTCATTAAGCAAATCACCGTGATTAGATGACACCACGTTCATTAAGCGAACCCACTGTCTATAATGGGAAATCAGAAGTAAACACCAGTTTCTAGCAAAACAAAAATCATTTTGATTGTATGACTATGGGATACGGCTAACAGCCATATATGGTAGATGCAGGCCAGTTGCCAAGTACTTAACGTGCAATCAGGTGACGGGGGGGGGGAGGTGTTTTCAAATCTGGATTGTAAATATTTTTTGGGGTCTGTTGTAACTTTGGATGCTCACTAAGCAACTGGCTATATGTCGAGGAATACCTGTACTGTACTTGTATACTAAGCTTGCATTCACATTGTGTATGCTTATTTTTTAAAGAAAGGCCTATATTATATGTTTTAAAATAACATAGGAAACTTGTAATTGTTCATATTCAAAAATGTGCTGATTGCCAGGAGACTGCAAGGCAGGACATAGCACGCTTTGTTCCTGCTGCTGAGTAAATGAATCTGTCTTCCTAGCTAGGTTCACTGCAAAGATTAAGAGAACAACTATTTCATTATGGAAAGACCTTATGTGTATATCTATAAAGATATCTTTAATGATACCTTTAAAAAAAAATCTACTGAGAGTAGATTTATATATCTAATTTAAAGTAGACCGATTTCCATAAACATTAGTACAGTGTTTCTCAACCTTGGCAACTTTAAGTCCTGTGGACTTAAACTCCCAGAATTCTGGGAGTT